GCATCACAATCCCTGACTTGAATATACTACAAAGCTACTGTGATTAAAAAAAAAACCAAAAAAACAGTGTGGCACTGGTAAAAACAAATGAACAAAGAAACAAACCAAAAAGCCAGACCTGAGGATCAGTGGAACAGTTCAGAAGATGCAGAAACACCTTCATTGAACAAATGGTGCTGGAAAAATTGGCTTTCCACATGCTGAGGATTACCACACACTAAACTAAAATTGAAATGAATCAAAGGTCTAAATATTAAAACATAAACATTAAATCTGCTCTAAGATAGAATAGGTAGAACTGTTGAAGACATTGGTGTAGGCAGAGACTTTATGAACAAAACCCCAATCACACAGGAACTTTCACAAAGGATCAACACCTGGGATCTCATCTTATTAAAAAGCTTTTGCACAGCAAAAATAATCACCAACAGAGTAGAGACAATGCACAGTGTGAGAAAATATTTTTGCCAGCTGTTTCTCAGACAAAAGACTAATACCTAGAATATACAAAGAACTCAAAAAATTCAGACCTCCAAATTCAAAGGCACAATTAAAAAATGGGCATCTGAGATGAATACACACTTCTCAGATGAAGAAGTATGAACAGCACATAAATACACAAAAAATGTTCAACACCACTGGTCATTTAAGAGATGTAAATTAAAACAATGCTGAGATTCCATCTCACCCCAGAAAGAATGGCTACTATCAAGAGATTAACCAACAATAAGTGCTGGTGGGACTGTGGGGAAAGAGGAACCCTTGTCCACTGTTGGTGGGAGTGTAGAGTGGTGCCAGCACTGTGATCATTGTGGAGAGTTATAAAAAAAAATGGAATTAGAAGTTCCATTCTACCTAGGTGTTCCCCTTCTTGGTATCTTCCTAAAAGGATTTATAAGTATCATTCCACAGTGACATACGAACAACCATGTTTATAATGGCACAGTTTGTAATAACCAAATTTTGGAAACAGCTCAAATGCTCATCAGCTGGCAAATGGATAAGGTTTAGAAAAAAAAAAAAAAAAAAAATATATATATATATATATATATATATATAATGGAGTACTAGTCAGCCAGAAAGAAGGATAAACTTGAGACATTTTTAGCTAAATGGATACACCTCAAAACCACAATCTCGGGCTGGGGATTTAGCTCAGCGGCATAATCACCTGCCTTGCAAGCAGGCAGTTGTGAGTTCAATCCCTGGTACCAATAAAAACAAAACAAAACAAACAAACAAAAAAACCCCCCACAGTCTTAGGTGATATAAATCAGACACATGTGTAGATACTGCATTATTTCTCTGGTGTGAGAAACCAAAAGTTTAAATAAAGGGGCTGGGGATTTAGCTCAGGGGCATAAGCGCCTGCCTTGCAAGCAGGCAGTCGTGAGTTCGATCCCGGTACCGATAAAAAGGAAAAAGACAAAAAAAAAGTTTAAATAAAAATCAAAATGTATAATAGATATTGTGTATTAGGAAGAAAATGTTCAAATGAGAAGAGGCACGAGGAAAGGGAGAAGGGGAAGGGAAGGAAAAGAGAAAAATGATAAAAAAGAAAAAATAGAAACAAAGCTTTTGTAAATAAAGAGGAGAAGAGGGGTTGAAGGGAGCACAAGGGAATGATGAAAAAAAAGAATGAAGTTATGTCATGCACAGGTATAAATTCACTGTGATGAAAGTGACCATTATACGTACCCAAAATGTATAATAAACAAATGTATAATAATACCCAAAATATATTATAAATGTATAATAAATAGTAAAAAATGTAAGTGCTGGTAGTTAGAATGTAGACTTATCTTTTGGGGGCCCACTGCCAGCCACATGTTATTTTATAGATGAAACAATTTTGGTTTAGTAATTGGTATTTAACTAAGGCAAATTAGTTCTCTACCATAGAGGCTTGCCTACTTCAGAAGGATAGTGGGTTTTGAAAAACTTCACACTGGCTGGGTATGGTCACATACCTGGTAGTCCCAGCAGTTGGGAAGCTGAGGCAGGAGGCTCACGGGGAGTTGGAGAGCAACCTGGCTACACAGTAAGTTCAAGGCCAGCCTGAACTACATAGCAATACCCTATCTCAAAACTAAAATAATATAAAATGAAATACCCTTATGAGAGTTATTATAGGATTATCAGCTCCTGCTTATCTTACATTTCAGTAACTAAAGGAAGCCCTGAAGTCTGCTATTCCAAGACAGCTTCTACTTTAGAAGGGTGTTACCAAGAATAATGATAATATAACACTGCATCATAAAGTTGTAGCCCACTGCCCCGTCTTAAGGACACTAGAAACTGGACTCATGAGCTTACTCTACCCATGAGTTTGACTTGTCTCTTTCCCCCTTTAGCAATCGTTTCTCCAAAGAAGAGTGATAAAAACTGACGTGGGTTTCATCTCTCTTTATTATTCTCAGCTCACTCTGACAGCCCCGTTGTGGAGGGCCAGAGTGAGGAGGCTGAGATGAAGGCACAGTAATGTAGAGTCAGGGAGGTAAAAGTCTGTGTGAGAGATTTTAACTCTTGTGAGGGGCTGCAGAGGAGGCTTCCCCCTACTTCAGCTCAAAGACGGCTCTGTGCTTGGGGAGCTGGCCTTGTAGGGATTCTTCACCAACTTGGCACACCGAAAAATCATCACGATTAGGAAGATAAACAGAACAATAACAAAGGCAATGGCAAAGCCTTTGTCTACATCAATACTGCTGGACAGATGTGACTCTTCCATGGAGACAGGCAGCTCTTTACTGTTTTCCAGCTGCAGCTACCTCCTCAGGTGTGTGTGTCTTCCAATTTGTCATATTCCTAGACAAAAGAAGACAAAACATGGTCTTAACTTGGAGACTAAAATTTAATGGACAGGGGTAAGAAACAATTCTCTTTTGCAACCCAGAACTCATTGTTTGGTATGAATTTTGACACAAATAAAAAGGAAAATTACTGCCATGCACAGGGATGCAAGCCCGGGATCCTGTGATTCCTGAGTTGGAGGCGACAGGAATGAGGCCTGGACTATGTGGTGAGACTCTGCTCAGAAAATAAAGCAAAAACTAACACTGATGATAACCCAGTACGATTTAAAATGATGGAACGTGTTAATCATTTAAGTTTTATTTGGAGACTAAAGTTAAAATAAAGCCCAGGATATGAGCAAAATCTCAAAAAAAGAAAAAAAAGAGGAGAAAATAAGTTTATTAATATGTGTGTGTGTGTGTGTGTGTGTGTGGGTGTGGGTGTGTATTTCCTGATAACACTGGGTAGAAACCAAAAAGGGGCCAAGGGTTGGGAAAAAAATCATTTATTTTATTTTATTTTTTTTGAGAGAGAGGGTCTTGTTCCGTAGTTGTACAGGCTGGCCTTGAACCCATTTTATGTAGTCCAGGTTGGCCTCAAAATCACGGTGAGCCTGCTGCCTCAGCCTCTGATGTTTGAGATTACAGGTGTGTACCACCAGGACCAGCTTATCAAGATTTACGTAAGAAGCATTTATGAAATTGAGAAGGCCAACATAGATGGCTAAAAAGATTTGTATGTACATAAAAGCATATATTATCTGAAGACTTTCCCCAAGGCAAAACATAAGGGCCATGCTTTTTTCTTTTTTTCAGTCTTTTTGAGGCAGGTCTTCACTTTGCAGTTCAGGTTGACCTTGAGATCACTTTGTAGACCAGGCTGGCCTTGAACTTGCAACAGTCCTCTTGCCTCAGCCTCCTGAGTGCTGGGATTACAATTGTGTACTACCATGCCTGGCTAGCGCTATGGTTTTCATGAGAGTCCCCCAAAGGTTCACATATAAAGTACTGGTCTCCAGGAATATAGTATTTGGAGATGCTATGGAGGTTAGGCCTAGTGGGAGGTTGTTAGGCTGTGGGAGGTCACCTGGTGAGTTCAAGGCCAGCCTGAACTACATAGCAAGACTATGAAAGGGACTGTGGGTCCCCCCTCCTCTGTCTCTGTTTCTTGGCTTGAGCTGGGAGCACACATCTAGTACAAGCTCTCGCCATGATATGCGCCTTCATTAGAGAGCCAAACAAATATGGTCTCCAAGTCCTGGACTGGAATTTCAGAATTGTGAACCTCCCTGTACTCCATCAGTAATCTATGTCTGGTATTTCATTATAGTGATGGAAAGCTGACCCATACTGAGTAAGTTTATGTAATCCAGAAATCAGCTGGGGCTGCCTTGCTCTGCAAGATCCAGGTAAAACCATTTGCAATATCTCAATTCTGAGTGAAGGCCAAACTTTCTCTAATTATTCCTGAGATTCCCAATTTTTTTCCTGATTCCTGTTTTACTGCATTGTCATTCTCATAATGAAAAATCAGGTACATGCCAGAAGAAATCAATTTTAGTTATTAAAATTTAACTCACCACAAGAAGTCTGGAAAGGAATATAGTCATAATACATACTTCCCAACTTCAAAACTCATTATAAAGCTACAGAAATCAAAACAGTATGATGCTGGATAAACATAGACACATAGATCAATAGAATAGAATTGGAAGCATAGAAATAAACCCATATTATTAATAATCAAGGAGTTCTCAAGAACAGGCTGCCAAGAACATTCAGCAGAAAAAGAAAATAAGTGGTTCTGGGGCAACAAGACCGCCACATGTGAAAGAGTGAAGTTGGACCCGTTACTTTAGATCATACAGGAAAATTAACACAAAAGAAAGAAAATATAGAGTAACTAATTTTGATGTAGGATTTGGGAAAGAATTCTTAATCACTAAGAGATTATACCAAAATCCAGGAGTTGTGGTAGACACCTGTAGTTCTAGTATTCTTGGAGGCTGAGGCAGGAAGATTATAAATTGGAACCTAGTCTAGGCAATTTAGCAAGACCCTGTCTCAAAACAAAATTTTTTTTAAAAGTCTGGGGATACAGCTCAGTGATAAAGTGCGCTTGGTTTCAAGCCCTAGTTCTGCAACAAACAAGCAAAGAAACCACCCAAAACATGAGCAACAAAAGAAAAAGCATGGATAGGACACTTACCACTCATGCATGGGGCTCTGTGTTCAATTCCTGGAAAAAGAAAGAAAAAAAGAAATAGAGAAAGTAAGAGAAAAGAAAGAAAAAAAAAAAAGAAATTAGGAATATAACTCCATAGCAGAGTTTGTGTCTGCTGTGTGAAGCCTAGGAATCAATCCCCAATACCAAAAAATCCAAGACAACAACAAAAAACCCAAAAGAAAAAAAAAAAGAAATAAGCTAGAAAACACCAAAATTTAAAAGTTTTGTGTTTAAAAATATATTATCCTGTAATCACAGTACTTGGAAGGCTGAGGCAGGAGGATCGCCATGAGTTCAAGACCAGCCTGGGCTACATAGCAAGTTTGAGGCCAGCTAGAACCGCTTAGTGAGATCCTGTCTCCAAAACAAAACAAAAACCAAAAAGACATTATCAAGAAATTGAAAAGACAATCTACAGAATGTGAGAAAATTTTGTAAGTCATATATCTGATAAGTGATTTGTATCTAGAATATGTAAATAATAAAAAGATAACCAATTAAAAATTTGGCAAAGGATCTAAACAGAAATTTTTCTAAAGAAGATATTGAAATGGTTATCAAACAACTTTAAAATACCCAAATCAGGTTAGGCATGATGGTGCATGCCTGTAATCCTAGCACTTAGGAGGCTGACACAGGAAGATCACCATGAGTTGGAGGCCAACCTGGGTTATGTAGTGTCTTCAAGGCCAGCCTGAACTACATAGTGAGATGCTGTCTCAAAAAGGAAAATCAACAACAACAACAACAAAAAAAACCTCAAATCACTTTTATCAGGGAAATACAAATGAAAACTATGATCACTTCATGCCCATATGATGCCTGAAATTAAAAAGGTAGGCTCTGGCATGGTGAAACAGGTCTATAACCCCAGTACTCTGGAATGTTGAGGCAGAAAGATCACAAGCTTGAGCCCAACCTGGGTAATTTAGTGAGACCCTATCTCAAAATTAAAGAAAAAAAAGTTCTTGTTATGTAATCTAGTGCAAAGGCCCTGGGTTCAATCCCCAGTGGTGAAGGAAGAAGGAGGAGAAGGAGAAGGAGAAGGAGAAGAAGAGAGGGATAGGAAGAGGAAGCAGAAGAAGAAGAAGACGAAGAAGAAGACGAAGACGAAGACGAAGACGAAGAAGAAGAAGAAGAAGAAGAAGAAGAAGAAGAAGAAAAAGAAGCAGAAAAAGAAGCAGCAGCAGCAGTAATAGCTAGATAAATATAAATATAAATGTTGGTAAATATGTAAAGAAATAACTAGATCCATCATTAGTAAGAATGTAAAAAAGACAGGCAATTTGGACAATAACCTGCAGGTTGCTCAAAGAGTTAAACATAGTTACTATGTAATCCAGCAATTGTACTCCTATGGTTGTACCCAAGAGAAATGAAGACATATGTCCCCCCAAAACTTTTATGAAAATGTTTATAGCCACATTATTCATCTGGCCATTAATTTAAGAATGGATAAACAAAATATGGATAATGCAGTGGGCTATTATTGGCCAGAAAGGATCAGAGTATTGATATGTGTTACATGTGACCCTGAAGCTTTATGCTCAGTGACAAAAAAGCCTATCATAGGGAAGTCTACAGAGATAGGAGCCAAATTAATGGTTGCATAGGGCTCGATGTAGGGGTGAATGTTGCGGGGAGCTGGTTAGAGAGAGGGTTAGTGGGTTTCTCTCTGAGGGAATGAAAATGTTCTAAATTTGGGGTGATGAATATATTAAAACCATGAATTACACATTTTAAATGGTTGAGATGTATTGAATTACAACTGCAAAACTATTTTAAGACTTTTTTCCTGACTGAAAATTAAATCCATGACCTTGCACATGCAAGGCAAGTACTCTACCACTGAACTATATCCTCAGCCCTAAGACTATTTCTTTTTAAAATCTGGAAAGCTTCACGACTTTGCGTGTCACCCTTGTGCAGGGGCCATGCTAATCTATTCACTCCAATTAAAACTATTTATTTAAAGACAGCTTAGTTCAATTATTTTAAATTTCTAATCATATAGAGGATTTAGAATTTTGGGAGGGTTTGTTTCGTTTTTCTTGTTTATTTTTTGACTACTAGATTTTGAGTTCTAGCTCTCTTCAAGGAGAAAGGAAGTTGATGCTGTGTTGTTTCACCACTTAATGGACTCAGGTGCTGCCAACTGTGAGTAGGAGGCTTTATTCTAGTTAAGTGTGATGGTTTCTAAGTGAAGTGTGTGTTATAGAGTTTTGTTTTGTGTGCTTTGTGTGTGTACTTTGTATGTGTGTGTGTGTGTTTTGAGACAGGGTCTCACCATGTAGTTCAGGCTGGCCTTGAACTTACTATGTAGCCTAGGCTTGCCCTGAACTTGTAGTGATCTTTCTGCCTCCTGAATACTGGGATTACAGGCATGTGCCACTAAACCCAGCCATGTGTAGCTGTTTAATTAATTAATTAAAATTTTTGTTAGAGCAGAATGTCACTATGTAGCCCAAACTGGGCTCCAACTCTCAGTGATCCTCCTGCTTCAGCCTCCCAAGTGCTGGGATTATAGGTATGCACCACTACATCCAGCCTTTTTTCCCCCCTTGAATAGTGTTTATCTTCACCCTGTACTTTTCTGTTGCTGATGATCCCTGGTATTGCCAGGTGTTACCAGTTCCCTAATTTCTCATTCTAAACTCGGGTTGGATATCCTTTGCTTGGTACATTGGCTTCTTGGCTTCTCCTATTCCTCCCGCTTCTTCTGAGACACTTGAACTCCTTCAAGAGATTTCAAACTGGGATGGATGGCAGGAGTGATGGCCACATTTTCTTTTAAAACATACTTTACTAAGGGACCTACAAATGCTGGTGGTACAAATTATTCCATTGGGCTTTCTACCTTCAAAAACCTAGCTAAAAACCAGCTTTCTTGTTGTGCAAGTTAAATGTCACACACTCTTGCTTTATTCAACCCTGATTAGAGTGGGCTGGCAGGTTCTGAACACCCATCCAGGGGAATGACATGAGACTCTTCCCTCCTGCAGTCTTACTGATCTTACTAGCATCTCACTTGAAATGTCCTTATCTTTGGAGTGGGGAGAGGAGGAAGCACTTTTCTGCCTTGGAATAAATAATATTATTATGTCACAAAAACTATAATATTCCATAAGGCAAATAAGGCCACCAGTAAGGACCAGTCCTATTTGCCCTATAAGTTCTTTTTGCTTTTTCTTTTCAATGCTGGGGATCAAAACCAAGCCCTTGTGCATGCTACACACGTGCTCTACCTCTGAGATACATCCCTGGTCCTAGTGCACTTTTTTCCCCCTCAGTACTGAACCCAGGGCCATCTTATCAAGCTATATCCCCTCTCTTTTAATTTTTTCATAAGTATTAATTTATCACCTTTAGTCATATGAACTAGATTTTTGGTTGTATAACAAAATCTAAAACAAATCAGAAAATTATATATGGTAAAGATGCCCTCAGTATGACAATTTTAGCTGAAGAGGGAGAACATTTAAAAGAGGTTGGGGGAAAAACAGAAATAAAAGGAGAAGACGAGATTAGAAGCAAATCTGGCAGACAAAAGGAGATGACACCAACTTTGGGAGACTGGTGGTGAAGACAGAAAAGAGAGGAGGAAGACATAAAAACAAGAGCAGAAGGGGTTGGGGATTTAGCTCAGCGGCATAAGCGCCTGCCTTGCAAGTATACAGTTGTGAGTTCGATCCCTGGTACCAATAAAAACGAAAAAAAAAAAAAAAAAAAAAAAAAAAGAACAGAACAACAACTAGGAACTAGAAAAAAACTAGAAACAGTGTTCACATTCATATGAAAATAAGAACAAACAAGAAGAGAGAAAACAAAACAAAAATGAATAACAAGAAAATAAGAAAAAACGTCCACTTCAAGGCATGTCTCTACTCTCACTGGTAGACAGAACTCTACCAGTGGGAGCAGTTAGGCCACAGCTGAGCCACCTGGAGACTTTCTCCTAGGATAGTTTTCCTTAATTGGCATCATTTGGTTTCCTGCATTTTCCACGTCAACTTCTTCCTTGTTTTGAATAAATACAGGTCACCCAGGGACAGCTGGTCAGTCAGCTATCAGAATTATGAACTCTGCACAGGATTTTATTCCTCTTGGAGTCCTGAAGATCATGCCACTTGTCTCATTCCTTTGGTCTTCGCTGTGCACTCATTTGGGGGATTGGGGATCTAGGCACAGACCTCAACAAGCCCAGATCCATGTTGATTAATCTCTAGCAAAAGAGTGGTAGATTATGGCAGGGTAGCGGATAATCCCAGCAAGCTTGCCCTGGAGTTCCACTGAAATTCAGGCTGGTTTCTGGCTTTGAGGTGGGAACTTGATTTGTTTAACCTGCAACACTCAGGGTACCTCATGCCTAATTGAACTCAGCTACCTGACCGTTTACTGACTTGAAGGAAGTTCCACTTCACCCTGACCATGGAAGCCACTAGATGGAGCCAGCTGACAGGGATTCTGAGTTCTGAGCTCAGCTGGCCCCACACAAGATGGCTACTGGCCATTCTGGGGGACTTCAGAACCAGAATAACTCACCAGCCGCGGCTGTCCACTGCATCCACTGCTCTGCTCAGCTAATGCATTTCTCTGTGGAGGCCTCTAGGGTTGTCAGTGGTCACCCTGCCACCGCCTCACCACAGTCTGAGCTACCCCTCCTTGCAGTAAGTCACGGCTCAGGGAGAAAGTGCCACTTTCTATCTCCTTCTTCTGCATTGAGGTCTCTCTCTTTGCTCTCCCCATGGACTTCAGTTCTCTCTTCAGAGCTGTGCTGGATCTCGGGGATCCACTGCCTTCCTTTTTCTCTTCCTCATGTTGCTATAATCCAATACTAGACATCAAATCTCAGAGAAACTCTTTTCCTGCTGAAGCACTCTTGAAAAGGATCTCACTCAATTCATGTTTTCCAGGATGGGCTCTAATTTCAGATCCTAGCCAGGTGTGGTGGTACATGCCTGTAATTCCAGCACTCGGGAGGCTGATGCAGGAGGACCACGAGTTTGAGGTTG